ATGTTCCAACTTGCCCAACTAAATAGCAACAAAGCCGACCCTCCAAGTAGAGGAGTTCTGCAAGGACATGATCTCGGACTCAGCTTGGAAACGCAGGCAAGATATTCGTAAGCAGGCAGTTGACAATGTGGCCGCCGGTTTCACGGTGAGCCAGTGGTGTGATGCGGTAAGAGCCACCAAACGACAGGGGCACAGGGTGTTCGTCTGGATGCACTTCTTTGCGGGTAGGAGGCAAGATGGAGATGTTGAAGAGTTTGCTCAAAAGTTGGCAGAAGCGAAAGGCTTACAGCTGATGTACATTTCCATTGACCTGGCTACAGACCACCGTTGGGATCTGACCATCCCATGCACGTTCCATGCGCTTTACCAGCTTGTGGAAGAAGGCCTTGTAGATGGCGTTTTAGGCGAGCCACCGTGCTCAACGGTGGCGAGTTCAAGACATGTCCCACTGACCAATGGGCCTAGACCTCTGCGATTTAGACATTGCTTTTGGGGGCGAGAGGACTTGAAACTGTGGGAACGAGCCCGTGTGCTGGAAGCAAACTGCCTGTGGCTTAACTACATGAGTCTTTGCGAAGGCGTATCCAGTCGAGGAGGTGTCCACCTCTTTGCACATCCGGCTGACCCAGGTGTTGATCCATACCCTTCGCTTTGGCAAACGGCGGAGATGATCAACATGGAACGCAGAACTGGTGCAATTCGTGTACACCTGCATCCGTGCCATTATGGCGGCCCGGAGGCGAAGTTGACCTGCCTTTCTGGAACGGTGCATGGTTTGATTCAGCATGATGGTGCGCAGTGCCCCGGGCTGAGTGACACTCACACTCATGGCCCCCCCCGTTGGGCGAACCTTTCCCAGAGCGCTCTGTGAGGCCATCGCTAAGATGTTCATTGACACCTTTGTGCATTTCGAAGCTACCAACACTGGACCCACAGGAGCACTTCGTCTGACTAAGGACGTGGCAGCCCCTCGAGTTACAGCTTGGAGCACGTGGTGTGAACAACGGCGTCATGGCGCCGTGCTGCTAAATGAGGCGACAGTTCGTCGTCAGGCAGTTGTGTTGTCACCTTTGCAGTCAGCAGTGTATGTGCATGTGGACGACACTGTATGCTTGTCCGATGCCAGTCAAGGGCCCATCTTCTGCGACAAAATCATGGAGGACGGCCTAGTGTCTGCCCTGGAGGAAGTCGGTTTTGGAGTTTCCCAGCAAGAGCGAAATGACTCAGCAACTAAAGTGGTTGGCTACGAGGTCATCCGCAACCCTGCCGGATTCAGACTTCCAATAAAGAAGATGGTCCTTCTGATGGAGGCGTTGAAGTTTGTAGCAAGCTGCAAGATGGTGCGCATACGTGTGCTCCACGCGCGAGTGGGCGTGTGGGTGTTTGGCGCACTTCTCAGAAGAGAGTTGTTGAGTGTGCCGCAAGCAGTGTTTTCTTTTTTGACTTTCCATGAGGAAGCAGAGGAGAAAGAGGCAACGTGGTGGCCGTCAGCACGTCGTGAAGTACTAGCCATGGCCAGGTTGGTGCCACTCATGACTTGCCGGGTTGGCTCACCCCTCCCTCAGTGGCTCTTTGCCACGGATGCCATGGGAGCCAATGAGCTTGACAGTGGAGGCTATGGAATAGTGATGACAAAGATCACAGAGCATGAAGCCTTGGACCTACTTCGCCAGAGCAATGCAGAAGGGCGAGCGATTGCCGGTCTTGACGGTATGCGCGGAGCAAAGTTTCCAGGCAGAGCATTGACACCCACAGTGCCATTTACTTTGCTGTCAGAGGAGCTTTTTTGCCCTGAACGGTGGGTCTTAGTTGAGTCAGGACGATGGCGTTTCAGCGAACACATCACTTTGGGGGAGTCAAGAACCGTTGTGAAGCTTTTGAGAAAAATAGCAGCGGTGCCAGAGCTTCACGGCTCGTTAGTGCTTTCGTTACAGGACAATAGGCCTACGGCCTGCAGCATGACCAAAGGTAGGAGCCCTTCCTTCCCCCTCAACAGATTGCTCAGACAGAAGGCCGCGGTTTGCTTAGCGGGCAACCTGCGAGTGCTGCTGCCATGGGTAGAGTCAGGGAAACAACCAGCCGATGAGAGTTCACGACAATGTTGAAAGTGGCTGACGTATGTTCGTGCATGCGTCGGCTTCACCCAGATTTACAGAACAGAGTTAAGGAGTCAACCCTCCTTGGATATAAGAAGCACCTCGACCCTTTTTTGGCTTATCTGGACCAAAAGTGTGAGCTGCAAAGCCTTGCGGCAGAAGACATAGACCTTTTGGCCATGGAGTACAGAACGGAGTTTGAGTTAACCAAATCACAACACATACAGCTTTGTGCTGCTCTGGAATTTTTCTTGCCCTCTATCAAAGGTCGTCTTGTGTATACTCGTGAGGCCATCAAGGGGCGAACCTGCGCAGAACCCATCAACCACACCATCCCCATGTCCTACGAGATCGCTTATTTGTTTGCTGCGTTTCATTGTTCTCGAGGCCACGAACGGCTGGGAGCAGCGCTGCTGGTACAAATGGCTACAGGCCTGCGACCGTCAGAGTTGTTGGGGATCTGTTGCGCACATGTTTTTGTTCCTTTGAATTTTAGAGAGGCAATTAACATTCGTTTGGGCAGCACGTATTCTACCAAGGTAAAACGAGAGCAGTTCGTGCAAGTGTTTGCTTCAGCATTTCCTTTGGCGTACAAATTGTTGAGATGGTTGGTTGCAGCAACAAAGGACGGTGAGAAGCTGTTTCCTTTTTCCTACTCAACTTACAACAATTCTTTTGGAATTGCTGAAATGAACTATGGTTTGACACTGCGCCTCACTGCGCATTCGGGGCGATCTGGATATGCCACATCGCGAATCTTGCGCGGTGACGATCCTGCTCAAGTGCAGACGGCGGGGCGTTGGCGTTCGGACACCAGTTTCAGAACATATGTAGACGTAGCTGGCAGTCTTCACACTAAGGCTCAGGTGGAAGCACATGGTCTTCTGATTGCATCACAGTGGTGTCAAGATCACATTGAAGACTATTTCCCTTCACTTCGCGGAGCCCATGCGCCCTCGTCCAAGTCGCGCCAACTCGGCGGAGCCAAAAGTGGATATGCATCGCCCAGATCTTCGGAAGCGCGAGAACCGCTACTTGCTGCCACAGGCGCCAGACGGCCTGAGCAAGTACCAGAAGCAAGTGTGGCGCAACGAGCAGCTGCAACAGTTGATGCAACCCAGCACCGTCGCCGGCGCGGCGGCCAGAGCCAGCTCGACGCCTCCAGCGCGCCTGTCGAGCGCGCCAAGGGCCGGGGGCGAGGCAGGGGGCGTTTGCTGCCAGCGGGGCGGCCGACGCAGTCCGTCTTTGAGTAGCCGCATGTGGCGTGGGGGCCTGTGGATTTTCAAAGGGGCTTCTGGCTTCCCATTTTTGTTGATCATCGCCATGCTTTCGGGAAATCATGGCCCCATCCATCAGACAGCGCGGATTCTGGGCACTGTCGCTGATCTCTCAGAAGCGGCCACTTCCACCGCCATTACTGCTATCAACGCCTCCAGCACCATGGCTACAGCCGCCTCTACTCTTATGGTTCAGGCGGCCAGTAATGGCCTAGATGCCAGCGCCAACATGTGGCATGGAGTGGATGTCACCGACATCTACGCCAACAAGTGTGGCGGAGCTGTTATCACATCTTCGGTCCCTGCGCTGACCGCCTGGTTGAACACAGATGCAGCGATGGTTCATTTTCCATGTCTGTCGCCGTTTTTGGTCACCCGGTTGAAAAGCGCAGCCATGTCCATCACCACTGAGGTTCCGTACACTCAGGCCGTCTCGGAGGAACTTCAGTTGAATGAGTCACTCACTTCGATGCTCTGTTCCTGTTGTCTGGGGCTTTGCTTTCTATCCAGGGCTTTGGCTCTTGGGCATGAAAGAGCTAGTATCAATGGCTCTTGGACATGAAAAAGCTAGTATCAATGTGCAAAGATGGTGCTAAAGCAAGTAATCGTGCCGTGGTGGCTATGTGCTTTATGTTTTGCAATGTTTTGCAAAATTTGCAATTTTTAGTTTTGACGTGCCAGTGAGTTTACAGATGACGCTGGGTTTTGTTGACTTCTTTGGAGTGCTGTTTGCGCTAGACACTCGCTTCGCTTGGCTGCCATTTCAGCTTGGGGGGGTGTTGTCAAAGCGCTGGACCGGAGGCCAGGAAACCGTTCACCAGATATGAAATCCGATGATTGCCCACCACCCAATGCGCCACTCAATGCGCCAGGATTGGCCCCAAGGCCGCTACCGCAAGTCTTGGGCTAAGGTTTCAATCCTGGACACTGTGTTTTTTGGAAAGTTATTCTTATATTCAATATTTTTGAAGTTAATATCGAGGTGTGGCCTATGCCTAACAACGTTGATGCCAAATGCCCAGATCCAACCAATGCCATATTCATTTGGGGTGTTCTGATCTTTTATCACTCCTAGGAGATTATGCGATCATGGTCCCGTTCACGATCCCCCCAGAGGAGGGCCATGGTCTCAACCTGCACAGAAGACTCGCTGGGGCCGCTGGGGTTGATCCGCCTGTAAATTAGGCTGGGCTTCTTCGGGCTGATTCACCTGGACCTCCAACCCTGGGACTGCATCGACAGGCGAGGTCTGATAGTCGTTTGTTTTGTTTGAACGCAGCTTCAAACATTGGGCCTTGCGCAGAACGCTATCTTAGAGTGGTCTCCTTTGACCCAAGCTTAGATCGTTGCTGCAAGAGTTGTAAAACAGAAGAAACTATTTTGGCCGACCCGCCCAGGACCAGGCAAATCATGGCTGAAGTGCAATCTCCACGACGTCGAGCGCTGTCCTCACTCTGGGCCTTTTCCACTTATGGCGTTCGCTTGAACTGTTGGGAGGGGTTTCCTGCACAAGGCTCATGTTGGTTCGGGAACATCTTTGGAGGACTCAACTGATTTTTTAAATCTTCTGTGCAAGCTTCCCGCTCGTGCTGCCATATCAAAACACCTCGTCAGGATCAGAGCACTTGTTTCGGTCAGATCGAAACGATGTTGGATGAGACAGCCCCTACACAGAATGAGGCCCTTAGTTTTAGACTGACGTTGATTTGCAAATCCTCATGCTGTGCATGCCTTCACAAGTGCTCTTCGGCGCAAGCGTCGCAAGAATCCAGGTTCGCAAGGATGAGAACTTTGCCGAGGAGGTTGCGTTTTCACTTTCAGTGCTCAAACGCGTTGGGGGCCCAATGTTACAACACGGACCAGTTACTGGTTCTTAAAACCTTGAACCTTGGATCCGAGGTGAAAGAATATGTTTCATCGGTCGATGCCCTTGAGAAGCCCATCGATGCGATTTGCAAGTGCTGCATCGTCGCGTGCGCTGCCATCGACCAGTTGAGGGTAGGGGATTACACCCTAAGCTTTCTAGGGGAAGTAGAAAGTGCCTTTTGAAGCCGACATGGTTTGGCAGCTGCTATAGGTGCGATTTGAAAACAATTTCCCTTCACACACTTTGTGCGCAAAGCATCAACTGGGAGAGTTCTTTCGAATCAAACAAGAGTCAAGAGTTTCAGTTGAACTGTTGTGTTGTATCTGAAGCTCTGAGTGGATCTTCGGGCCTTTCACGGGCCTCTCACGGGCCTCTCACACCGCCATGCCACTCGCTGATGTGGATGACCTGAGCGAGCCAGTTGCTCAGAGTAGGTATTGCCGCCCAAAGTCATTGCACTATGCAGTATGCAGAGTTGGTCTATTTGCTTTAGGTGTGGCCATGATGATGAACCAGAACAGAAGATTGGTGCCAATGTTTGCAACCCCAGTCATGCGTGTAAAGAGCCTGCTAGAACTACAACAACCTTCTATCGAACATGGAATTGCAATGGCAATGTTCCTTTCCTTTCTATATTATAATGTATTCCCATCTCTTCTGACATTTCAATTCGGTTATCCTTGCTCAGGTGACAAAGATTCCCCGATTCGGCAAGCTGGTTGGATTGCAGCTGAAATCTTGGAATCCTACGTTCATGCCGCAACCTAAAAGGAGAAAGCTGAACATTAGGCTTGTTTCCTGGTTGCAACCGTTGGTGATTGGTACAGTAACGCAAGAGTTGATTTGATCGCTGTGGCAATACCTCAGGTTGCAAAGAAGCCTGGCAAGAAGGTACAGGCTAAGTCAAAGCTCGTGCCCTCTAGGTTTCTGACCCTGTCATCGTTCGGAACGATCAGCCCTCACCTCAAAGCAGAAGCTTAAACGCACGAAACACATGGCAACTATGATAATCACAAGTATAATCAGTCGTCTCAGGATGCTTTTCAAGCACAACGCAAGCTAATGTGCATTGTTTGACGGAAAGGGGCTCTCGGGACTGACTGCTCAATGCCTTATATCAACTTTAGTTCAACTACTTTTGTTCAACTTTAGTTATTGAACTTGTCCAGGACTTTTCGAATCAAGTCCACTACTGGACTGACTACCGCTCCGCATGTGCAAAGCGCAACAAGAAGCCGGCCAAGATCGTAGCATGCCACACTGCGGAGTACATGTCCGGTCCAGCCCTAAACCAACCCTTGCGTTGCATGTGACAAAGAATGCTTTCTTCAACGGCTAAACAAGGTCTTATGGCTTTCATTGTTTTGCATAGTCTGAAGGTCTTCCAATTGGGTGGTCTGCCCCCATCCGTGGAGCAGTCAAGCGACCGCCGAGTCGCATGTACAGCTGGCTTCGCAATGCTCAGGCGCAACCTGGCACTGGGAAGTTCAAGTGATTAAAGTACTAGCAGTTGAAGCCTTTGTCAGGCAACAAAGAGGCACCGAGTGGTATCGTGCTTCAGTGGGATACTGGGATTGGATTTGGGTGCATCCCAGCTTGGAGCTCAATGAACTTTTAGTGAACACAGATTCAATGCAAGCACTTGGTCCACCCACTGGTTCAATGTCACTTGTTGCAATTTGGAGAACCAGGGCTGTGTATTGCGCAGCCTTTTTGTATCCAGGTTCGTGGAACCAATAGCAATGGTCAGAGCCTTCAGTTCACTTTTCGCATCCTTTTCTTACCGTGGCCTTTTTGAGGTTGAGAGTTCATCTTTCTGCCGGGACGTCATCGTGGCACGCATGGCTGACAATCTTGTCAAGACTGTGCCGCTTTTCGACGATGTCCAGACATTTAGCATGTCCAATTTGAGACCCAAGTATGGGAGCTTGGAGGGCATCATGGGAGGCTTCCCATGCCAGGCAGGATCCGTTCCACAGCACCGACTGTCTAGCCACAAAACATCACATTGAACGCATGTCACATTGTGTTTCATCGTTTTCGGTTTCAGGGCATATCCAGAGCTGGCAACTGTGCTGGCATGAACGATTGCCGAACTGCCCTAGGGCGTGAGATGTGGAGGTTGGTTGACGATTGCCAAGCGAATCTAGGCTTTTCTTATCGCGACGCATGATTGCTATTAGTAGTGGTAGCTGATGTTTGTTTCTTTCTCTTCGAAGGAAATTCCTCCTAGCAGAGAATGTTGGGAACCTGACCAGTGAGACCATGAAAGATGTTTGGGATTTCATGACAAAGGACCCTCCCACATACTCCGGCAAACTGCTTTCCACTGGCCTCGCCTGCAGGAAACGGAGAAGCGTGGATGGCACATGACCTGGGCCAAGATCACTGGATACATGTGTGGAGCTTTCGCAACAGCCTCAACAGAACCGACAACCTTTAACCTCAGAAGTAAACTTCTTTGGAACTTTCTAGGCCTGGCGCGAAAGGATCTTCATACTTGCCCAAGATCCAAAGTTCAATTTCTTCGAGGTCCATCAATTGGGGATCCAGATGAATGGCCAATCATTTCATTTGTTTTCGGGATTGTTTCCATTTTTTCAATTGGCTGGCAGGGCTTCAAGCTCATGGACCCCGAGTTGATGCGCAACCTTTCGACCTCTCAGTGGCACCCTGAGAGCCGGCCTGAGCTGTCGACTTGGATGGAGCATACGCCAAGCGAATGGTCCTCGGAACGGCTGAAAGCCATAGGAAATGTGGTTTTTCCAGACATGGCAGCCGTGGCACTAAATGCCATAGGACATGAGCTGACAAACAGCCCTTGATTTCCTAATTTGTCTTTGATCTTAGATCAAACAATTCACAAGGTTCGCGCGCGGTGATTTCACTGCAAGTGCTTCAAGGGGAAAGATAGTGGAGGTCATATATATTTACTTGGAGTGTTTGACCACCGCACTCTTTCACAGGCATGCTTTTTGAAGACAATCTTTATACACTTACCTTTGTTTCTCAGCCGCGTCTGGGGGTGCGCGGGGGTTCTGTGCGGCCGTTCGGCCCAGCGGCATTGCAGTTGTCCACCTGCCTCGCTTAGCTTCCTGAGATTTCCTGAGCACAGGCACTTCGTCTTGAATTGGTGAACGCTCTGGGTGCATGGCTCAAAGACAGAGGTTGCTTGAACTGTGTTGAAGTTCGTAATGTTTTCATTGGAGTTCGATCATATCTCAACTGCTTTGGAAGGTAAGTTAAAGTTGAACAGAACATGTACTTAAGCAATACTTCGGCGCCATGTCCCACCAAACTGCACGGTCCGACACTAGATAATGGCGGAACAATTCTTTTTAAAGCATACTAGAAGACACTTTCAAGAACAAGTTGAATCTTCATGACTTTTCAGGTTGAATCTTTCAAGAAAAGGTGTTTGTTTCTTTCCAAGAGTCAAAGCTGAAAAGCAATCCTCTCTGTCCACTGGTCCGCCGGGATCCGAGCTCCTACGCGCTGGGAAGGCGCGCCCTCAGTGAACGGTGGTCTCAGTGTGGTCTCGTTCACATCGGTGATGGGATGCCAAGCATGAAGGGGATGGGAGTGGAGGTCCATGATTGACTAAAGTCCTAAAGCTGTCCCACTTTCATTGGATCAGGCGGCTTGTGAAGGACCAATGTGACAGGAAAGTGGAGCCCCAGCCTTAAAGCCATGTTTGCAAACACCTTGGGGGTGACCCTGAATGATTAGATTTGTTGCAGAGGCATCAAACAAGACAAGCCGAGAACCTAACAATTCGTTTGGGCAGTTTCGTCGGAATGAGGCTGAACGATGGGTTTACCCCCTGTGGATTCCCTGAGCGGAGACGAAGGCAAGAACAAGCCAAGGCCTGGACCGCAGTTGCCTGCGCCAAAGCGACGAATTGCGCGCGGTTTCAGAAAGAAAACCAAAAGGATTTTGATATCTGTTGACCCCCTGACTCTTCGACGCATTATTTCATCGCGCTGTGGCTGCCATGCTGACTGCTTTGACCCGTTCAGAAGCAGTCAGTCTTTGTGGAACAAGTGGGTCAATCTTCGGAAGCTGTTCCGTTCCATGACCAAATTGGAGCAGGATAATCATGTCAGGAACTTGGTTTGCGCTCAAACGTTGAAAGTCGTTAGTGAGTGTCACATGCAAGCACTTCTGGTTTAGATGATGAAGTATTGCTTTTCTTTCAGAGACTAACGTTGGCCTTGAGGTCTTTGCTGCAATGAAGGCGGGATCGGGGTCCCAGCCTGGGTGTCGGGGCAGCCGGAGTTTGGACTTGTTTGGAGTCAAGCTGTGCCGCGCTGGCTACATGAAGTTGCTGTCCATTGGCAAAACCCGCTTCAACAAAATGCGGACCGCCATTCTGAATGGGGCTGAGTATTGTCCATACGACGCTAGGTACATTACAAAGCAACCCAAGACTCCATCTCCCGCATGGATGGCCTGCCATGACTATTTGACGAAGCTTTGGTTAGAGAGCGCGGAACGAATCCCTGATGGGTTAAATTCACAAAAGCGTCCAAGGCACGGTTCGAACAAACATGATGCTCCTGGCATGGACCGCACCCAGATAAAACACCTTCCGCCCGGATCCATTGGTGAGTACTGGATGCAGTGTTGCGCAGCAAACGAAAACCACAAGGTCTCAAGAAAACTGTTTTGCGCAGCCTCCAGCCTGAGCTTCAATACTTTTGATTTCTTAAATTTCTAGTTGCCAAGTTTTGTCTATAACGATGGTGGTGTCATTGGAGCTTTGTGCAGACAAATCAGGTATGGCAACAGGCCTTTGCAAACAAGCTTCGCATTCGCTTCAGCACTCATCACAAGCGTTGCACCCAATGCGTGCGGCATCGACTAATCCTCAAGAAGTTGGGCAATTGCGCACCGGCCCAGCGGGCCCAGCGAGCCTTGCTTGAAAAGCACCTGAACCGTCAGTACAAGGACCGCCAGCTATACTGGTCGGCTCGCTCGCTATCACGGGTGCAGGCCTTGTCGCCGCCAGTGTATGTTGTCACCGCAGTGATCGACGGCATGGATGCTGCTAAACATGCCTGGCCCCGCTCGGCCAAGTTGGGCGCGAAAGAGTTTGGAAATTTTATTCGACCTCGCTTGACCAAAACATCCATGATCATCCACGGACATTGCGTTCACACCTTCCTCTCTCCACACAACCTCCCGACGAATTCTTCACGAAGCTGCGAGCTTGTTGCCAGCGCGATGACACAGCTCAGTCGCTCTGTGAACCTGCAGTCTGTTTGCCTGCATTTGCAGGCGGACAACTGCAGCAAAGAAACCAAAAACAATGGAGTTCTGCGTATGATTGCAAGTTGGGTGGGCCAGTGTAAACTGCATTCAGCAGAGCTTTGTTTCCTATCCTCGGGACATTCTCACGAGGACGTGGACATGATGTTCTCCCTTGTCAGAGCACACCTCGAAAGAAACCAAGAGCTGGAGACCCCCGAGTGCTTCCGACGGTGCATTGAAGGCTTTTTCGCGAACACCAAGAACAGGCCGCATGAACCCAGCAGGTTTGTAACACATGTTACGCAGTTTCGAGACTGGAACCTAATCTGCAAGCAACATATTTTGTCAGTCCATGCGTTCGGCAAGTTCCAGCAAATTAGCCCCACACCATGTAGACATCTAGGCCTGGTGCGCGAGGGGACACAGGCTTCCTGCCACTATTTTCGGGAGGGTGCTGAGATGTCTTACCCAGAAAAAATGTCTGCATGGAAACCAGTACCTTCTTCTTTGTCTAGGAAAAACTGGCTATCGAGCCTCTATGGCCACGCCCACATCTTTGGAATCGGCGGGCCTGGCGCCCCGCACGCTTTCAGATTGCGGAGGTTCGTCGACACAGGACTTACTATTAGAATCCTATCGGAACTAGACGTGAAGCTTGGGAACACTTGCAGGATTCAGCCGGGATGACTTGGACTCCAAGTTCTGGCGGCATGTTCCATATTGCCCGGACAATCGGGATGTGATTTTGGAGTCCGGCACCCGGCAAGCTCCTTTTGTTTCTCCACAAACAACTAGCTTTCCCCATTTCCATCAAGGACCAAGCAGTACATGAGTGACCTCTCCTACAGCCCACCCATGCTGTACATTCCTTGGAGCGTAATTTGCCAGTCAATGGGCGACGCACCGCCAGGCTGATACCAACACCAAACCAAAAGTCAAAAATGATCAAATATGACTCTGTGTGCGTTTTCTTCCTGGCAGCCTTCATCGACACCCCCGAGAACCCGGACAGCAAAGAGAACAAGGAGTTCAGGAAGTACGCAAAGCTGATGCGTTTGTTCCTCAGCGGCTGCACAAACAAAACACGGGTATCATTCGTTTGAAACAAGCCAGAAACGGATGTGTTTAATTCCATTTTTGTTTGCTGTCACTGTCTAGGTGAACATCCTTTTGACATGCGTGAAGCTGCCCGGCTTTTGGAAGACCTTTCTAATGGTCATCCAAACCACAGCCCTTTTTTGGATGTGAGTTGGCCCGAGCCCCATTGTCGTTTCACACTCTTCCAGGTTTCGTTTCGTTCGTTGTGCCTCTGAGGGCGTTGCCACATGCTGGGCCAATGGTTGGCCTGGCAGTGGGGCCACCAGTGCCGGCTGTTGGAGAAGATCTGGAAGCTGTAAGTGACCAAGTGTGTTTGCTTTTGGGGTTGGTTGAGCTGTTTGGAACTCAAGGTGGCTAACACTTTGCGATTGGGGAGGAAGAGGCCTGAGTCGGCTGATGCGGCCCGCTACCGGATTTCAAGGAACGAACAGGCCCTCCATCGTGCCGCAGCACAGCTTTGGACTTCAGGTGTCCCTATGCGCCAGGCTTTGAACATTGTTTCAGCGGCGATTCGCGACGTTTCCTAGGTGAAGCAGGTGAGGGGGTAACTCACCTATAGCAGCCCTCAATGCAGAAGGCTTTTAGTTGGCCTCACTTGGATTTGGACATGCAGAACTCCAGCAAACCAAACACATGACAAGCGAGGCCTTAAGATTGCCTACTGCTGTGCAGTGCAACCCGGGTATCCTGGGACAGCCCCATTTTGTGAAGAATGTGTGAATCGTTGGCCAGTTTTGTGAAGATGCAATCCTTCACAGTTTTGTGAATAGACAAAACCACCAAGTCCGTGAATAATGTTGTCGTCTTTATTCACGAAACCAATGGGACTTGCCCAAAATCTGCAAGCCATGAAATCCATGGCTTAGAAATCCGTGAGGATCATCTCTGCCGAGGTGGCGCGTGAATAGAGCTGTCGTCTTTATTCACTGAATGGGTATGCAGTTCAACAACCAGTTTTGTGAAGATTTGTTCATTCACAAAATGATGCTGGAAGTAAACCACCCATTCACAACCCAGTCTTCCCTGAGCACCACTAGTATTTGGCTGCCCTGCGTGTTGGCCAGGTGATGGCTCCGAAGAAGCGGGTCTCAGATCGCAAAGGCGAGCCGAAGGCCAAGACCGCGAAAAAGGCTAGCGAGGGCATCACACCAATCGCTCCGGATTCCATGGCCCTTCCACATCTAAAGATCTATGAAGAATGGGCGTTCCTGTGATGCAAGCTAGGATGTCGTGTTCAAAAAAATCTACTACACAGTTGCTGCAATCTGCTCGCAAAAGGAAAGAGAACTTGGAGCAGCACAATAAGACCTTGGATGTCTTTCTGTCGGAGTGCCTGGCTTGCGAGGCAGGTCGATAGGCTTGTCATGGCCTGTTCTTTACACAGCCACCGGAGGCGACAGCCATTGGCTTTTACACCTGGATGGAGCATACATTTCCTCCAGAAGAGGGGGTGTGATGGGCTCATATTGAAGAACCAAACCAACTGTTTTGTTTTTTATTGTTTTGGATTCAAGGTCATACCTCACACCGGAGACCATGGGAACTTCAAATTGCTGGGAACTACGCCCTTGGATGCTCCCTCACAGAGCCGACTTCGGGCTTAGGGGAACAGCGGATGCCGTTGGGGTCTCAGCTTCTAAATCAGGGTGTTCAAAACTTGTAACTTATTTGGTTGCCTCAGGAGGTGCAGCACAACCTAGCCCTCTTGGTGTTGTTGAATGGCTTCATGTCCAACGCCAACGTTCCAGGAGTTGAGAAGCTAACCATGACAACGGTTCAGCACAGCTGGCTGCAGGCACCAGCAACCAAGTACCGGTTGCATGAGGACTTGGGCATGGACTCGAGTGTCCATTTGGTGGCCCCGCAAACCGTCTTCGCAGTCAAGGGGTGGAACAGGTGCATGGCTTTGATGGGTGTATGCTATTGTGGCTTCACCACTCCGGCTCTGATAGAGGCGAGGCCTTGTTGCTGCGGATCTCCATCATCAACCAACGCCCTCGGATGGGAAGCGCTGAAGATCGCAATTTAAGCTATGAATTAATAAGTTGAAATCTAGAAATGATGTCAATCTATCCTCGTTCGCCAGGCCATGCCAGATCATATCAAGAGGAGACAAACGGATGTTCTTTGCTTCAACCACGGGGGTCGATTTTGAATTAGTATTGCTTGCAAAGGACCTTCAGCACAATCTACGCGAACAGCGTTGAGCCTGACATCAACCGTGTGGTGAACACGAATCGGGGTGAGAACCTTATACAACATGTTTGATTGAATTATAATGAAAAATATAATCAACCCTTGGAATATCTTTTATTCTTGTTTTTCTTAACCTGCTGCACTGCCTTCAAACGATTTGTTCCTTCCGTGCCAGGCGTGACATGCTCAACGGTTGGGGTCAGAAGGAAGCCAAACGCGTTCAACATCGTCTGGCAGCTGGAGCTGCTGGTGCGAAGCGGCGTGTCGCAGCAGAACGCCATCACTTCGCTTGAGGCCTTTGCTTACTTTTTACACATGTTTGCACGAAAGATCGGAAAAAGAACTTTTATAGGGGAACGAACAATTCCAAATCCCTTTCTGTGTAACTTCTCTAGTCACTGTCATGAGAATTTGTGGCTGTTGGTCAGACCTACGAAAGTGCTGCCCAAGTGGCATCCGTGTACTCTCTTGGAAAGCAAGAAAGTGCAGCGGCGTTGGCGCTCCTTCACAAAGTGCCAAAGGTGGCCAAAGAGGCGCTCACTGTCATGGTGAGGCAGGGCGCAATGGTGCCCAATTGAAAGAACATAATATATAAAGAAAACATAGAAAAATAACATGTCACATGTCTTTCTTGTGCTTGGCCAGGCAATATGGCATGCCTCGGTTTTTAACCCATGAGGCCATTGCCGTTGGCCTTCTTAGCGATAAGCACTGCACGGCTACCGGCCCCTTGGGCAACTGGAAGCAGGAACTCACGAACAACGAGGCCCTGATCATGACTGTGATCCACAGGATGGAGAAGGACTGGCTAGCAACACCCCCAAAGCAGCGCCGACCGTGGCATGTCAAGGACCTTGAAACTTTGTTCCAATTGATTGCGGGCATTATTGTTTGGGGGATTGCTTCAAAAGATCATCAGTCCTATCCTGCACGGGTCATTGCAGTGCACCCAAGGAAGTGTTGCAAAGGAACTGCGGTGGATTTATGGCATGCTTGGACTACTTCGTGAAAGCAGTTCCGAAAGAATTCTCAGACAAAGCTCTGGTGGAGATTCACAAATCGTTCTTTGTTTTGGAATATTGTTCACTCACACCGGACTGAGTATAGTCTTAGTTCACACCAGTTGCTATGCCCTCCCAGGTTCGAGCTTCGACATGGGGACGCTGACATAAGCTCCATGTTGGAACATTGTGTTCCCCCACCGGACATCAACAAGATCTCCATCTTCAGCCACCACCTTGTCAGGTACAACCAGGAGGCCAATATAGTTTTCCAGCTGTGTTGAACAAGGGTCGAACAAAACGTGAATCTGCGAGCACCACATTCGAGCCCCCAATTCCTGCCTGGCAGCAGGCTGAACAGCACAGCCGCAATCGAGCTGCAGAGCCTTATGGCAGCAATCAAAAGGAGTGGGAACTCAAAGCTCTTTAAGTCAAACAATGTTGGAGTTCAGTTTCTTCATGTGTTCAAATGGGTGAGGTTGTCCCAACAGCTCATGCAAACCACCATGGAACAGCTGAAGCTTTCCATGACCTCCGATTTGACAAAGCTTCGGCAATGGATGGGGCGATGGGACCTCTTTGCGGGCCAACAGGCGGGATGCCAAGAGAAAAGGATGGCTTTGGGGGAATGCATTTAGACAAGCTGATTCTTCAGGGCCTGCTCGACGTGAAGTACATGGAGGACCGCTACTTGAGGGGCAAGAAGTACTGCAGTGATTTCATGGAGACTCGGCACAAGCTCATGTGCTTTAGCAGCCTGAACCTGGGCCACGCAGCCATTGTCTCGATGCAGTCGGAGATGGGGCCTGACACGCATCTGGGCTGCAAATGCCCAGAGTGGAAAGCGAGCTTGTTTCAGCGTGGTTGTCGAACCAATTTTTGATCCCAGGGTCACAATCATCGTGCTAGACACCACCTTGTGGCCTTCGCGTGCTTTGGAAGATAATGTGTGTTAAAGGCCATGCATCGTGAACAAGTTCCCTTTGCAAGAGCAGTTGAGAACAAGCCAACAGAATTCAACTAAACATAAATATTTCATTCTTAAAACCATTGAGGCCAGTTGTTGATCGACGAGGCCATCTCTTTGAGCCAAGCGATATCTTCAGGGAATGCCAACACAATGTGCTTCGCATGTCTTCCTCAAGTTCACTCTTCAACCTCGATGGCCACTGTCATGAAAAACCGCCGCTTACTAGAGGACAAACTGTTTGCGTGCTTTGGCAACAACTGTTTGGAAGTCTGATTGGACATGTACGAGCAAAAAACTCTGAGTGAATGGTGAGAAACCGCGAGAAACCGTTTCACTAAGTGTGATGAACTCCCATGAGATCGCCCTGAACTATGCCCCACCAGAGCATGGCGGAGATAAGCGCAAGACATCACAGCAATGTCATTCGTTTGCATAGAGCCATGACATAACAATTTTCATAGGAAAGTGTTGCAATTTTTGATCGCGTTGATTGGAACAATAACTTACAGTAACTATAAAACATTATAAAACAAATTGCGCAGGTGTTGCTGCGATGTGTGGAACAAGTCCGGCATGGCAGAGGAGTCGGGCACTGTTGGGCTCTATCAACAACATCCCTCGCAGCCGGGTTCAGGATTTGCAGAACCCGGATACCGATCACCCACTGGCTCCTCACTGGCGTGTCCCTTTCATGAACGATGTGAAAGCATTAGATAAATTTTCTGTGTGAACCCTCGATGTCAAATATGATGTCACATGATTTCCCAATGCTTGCGCCAATTGCGCCAGGTTCAGCAAAGGGGGATCAAAGCGACAACGCAGGTGACTACGTCCCTCTTGGACAATGTCCTGACAGCCCCGAAGCAGCCCGTTTTGGTGGTTGACCTTTTGCCCAGCAGGCGAAAATGAGCAAATCTTGTTCTGCAAACGGTCTGAGTTTTTTTGCTGTTTTATCATCAACTTATATAAAGAGTTATATCAACACTATCTCTGCCATAAATTTTGTCAGGTTCGCCGAGTGGAGCAGAGCGGCCTGGAATTTGCAAAAGCGGCTGCTGAATGATGAAGACTTGCTGGAGAACCATCCTGACATGAGGTTTGCAGCCATCTACCACAGTGACCAAACTGCAGAATACACCAACTGCAAGGAATCGATTATGGGCCTTATCATGAGTGAGCATTGGGATGTCTCCGAGCAAGCAGGGTCGAAGTCGAGGGGGAGGGCTAGTTTTGGTAAAGCCCTACCTTCGCTCGAATCTCTCGCCGTGGTGGATGGAGAAGTGAAGATCCATGGTGAATGTTATTGTTTAGTATTCCTGTACATGGATGGACTCTGACAAGATCTTTAGAGTGGTGGTCATGCATTGTTTCGTGTAACAACAATTTTGATTGCCTAGCCCCTCCCTTCGCAGCCCGCAACTCAGGATTCCAGAGATGGTGCAAAAAAAACTTGTGGGGCACCCCGATTTCTTGAAGCGGTGCATGGATGATATTTGTGAGGACTCCAAGTTTACAACGTCCCTGAAGTGTTGGCACGCTTCGTCGGGCACGCCCACACCATCGAGTGGGGCCACACCATCGACTGGCACCACGCCCACGCCTCCAAGGACTCTGTCCTCCCCTGAGTGGGGTACGGAAGGACCCATCAACTGGCGTCGGAACATTGCTTCCTTGGAATCGATTCCCGCTGTGGACTTCGAGACACTTCACCCGATCCTTGGGTTCAAGTTGATCTAGATTGATCTAGTATCTTTTTTGAACATGAATGGGGCGACCACATGGTTTGAACATGAATGCAGAAGTGTCTACAAGCGCCACCCTTCCCTAGGATTGCTGGCATGGGGCGCATGCCTCATCAACCCAACCTCTTTGTGGCTGTCACCAAGACCAACAGCATCTGGCTGATCAACAAGGATGGAAGTGATTGCAGCCTTTCTGCGACGGAGCTGTTTGGCTTCAACACTGGGACATATGCTGAAGTCCCTTCAGGCCAGGCCAAGCGCAAGCGTTCTGTGTTTTTGAAAGGGGTCAAGTTCACAACGTTTTAATGTTTCATAATGTTTCACTGTTTCACATTTTCCGACACCAGCTTATCTTTCGCAACTTCGAACAACAGGTGATGGTGTGATTCTGGCATCTTCGATCTCTTGGCACATTTCCAAGGACAGCGCGTTGATTGCAATGGCGGATACGAAGGCCGTCACCACTTTGGCCGACCTCATTTGCAAAGTGGCTCGGGAACGAGGTGTCATGGAAGTACGAACCGTTGACCATTCTTTGGCACCTAAAGTTCAGGTGGGGTTTTGCGTCCACAATGCATGGGATGCCTGAACATTACCAATGGTCCAAAAACAACTTTTTCTGTAGCCTTTCCCTGAAAGGTTGATGCTGCTGGCCTCCAGCAAACATTGCCATACAGATACACTGTCACCCCGGCGGCTCAAGTCAACTCATTCCGGCCAAAGGAGATCGCTTCTGGGGAGGACCGGCAGAATCTTCGCACCCAAATGCTTGGAGCGGTTTTCCATGGCCGTTACACAGATTTACCTTCTGCTCCACACTGTGGGGTCATCTGGGAGGCGGGGGTGGTCAGGAGGTTGGAAAGATAGCTTCTTAAACAGGTTTGCAGTTTGTGTTTTCCGAAGTTCTTTGGGTCTCTTTCAGGTCCGAGTTGGTGATGAAGTCCCAGCTACTGTGACACCCATCAAACCAAAGCACTATTTGCTCGGCAACCTCACAGTGAAACAGCAGCACGCTGTCAAGCTGTGCTAGAGGCTGCTTGCTTGCTTTTGTGCCCAATAGATTGCTGTGCGAGCATCGGTGGGTGAATGGCATGGGGGCCAACTAGACTGAACACACTTTTCAACTCTGGTCAACTTGAAAAACAGTTGAAGGAATTTCAAAAATGATTGGTTGGCGCAGTAGCCATTCTAGAGTTTTGGTTGGCTCGCTTTAGAAGCAATCCTCGAAACATGAACACCGAAAACGGTGGAGTGCTCGTGGAAACAGTTGAGCTGAGGGTCTAGCATCAATCCAGTGTCCTTCACATTCCACCTGTCAGCCGCTTTGCTTCGTTCCCCAGAGTTCGTGACGCCCGAGTGGCTTGGGCTCAGGGTGTGTTTTTGGCACGCTTCATGAGTGAAGGGTTTTTGAGTTGGATCAATCGCATGCCCCTTGCAGCGGTGGATGAGCTTTCGGACGGAGGTGACCCACCCTCCAAGGCGCCCTTGAAGGAGACACCTGGTGAGGAGACTGTGACTAAGGCCAAGCCGAAGCCTAAGGTGAAGGCCACACCGAAGTCTACACCCAAGGCTAAGGGTGAATCAAAGGCGAAACCCAAGCCTAAGCCTAAGCCTAAGGGTAAGGCAAAAAGCAAGGGGGCTAAGGGTGATTCAAAAGTTGAAAAAGAAGTTGAGAAACCCAAGAAAACGTTGCCGGTGCTGAAACGACCCGCTGCCGCTGCCCATGAGAAGACTGTTTCCAAATGCTACTACAAAGCGAGCTCTTCATATGGCTACAAGATGGATGGGAGGCAAGTCTGGTCAGCGCCTGGTTTGGATTACCAGTCATGGGGTTGCCACACCAAAACAAGTTCTGTTTTTATTGCTCCGAACCAATCAATGTGTTTCCATGTGCCCGCCCTTCGAGCTGAGTTCATCACAGATTCCCGCCTGAGTGATGAGACCAATGAGGAGATCAGCGATCCATGGCTCAAGATATAGCAATATAATGCAATATGTATATATATATATAGCAAGTGGATGAGTACATGAGGTGTGGTTTTACAACCAGGGGATTGCGTGATGTTTTTCTGAGGAACTCATCAGGGATGAGTTCAAACGCGGCAAGAGTGTGGAGTCTGTGACAAGCCTCAAGGTTTCTCTAGCATATTTGAGCAACTTGCGCTGACAGTTCACCAAAGACCAAATGTTTGGTGGTTGCTATCCATCTTGTTCTATTGCCGTCGTTGTAGCGGCGCAGGATGAGATGATGAACGCGGCTTTGGCCAAGCTTGAATCGAAAGTGGCTGATGAGGCTGTTGAGCCCTTGGATGCAGTACAGGATGAGGGTATGGAGGCTGAAGAGGAAGAGAACGATGAAGAGCAGGATGATATTGTGGAAGATATAGAGCCATTTGTTTAAAAATGCAGCAAGTTTGAAGAAAGCCTGTGTTCACTTGAAATTAGCTCAACTGAATGTATTGTTTGCATTTTTCGATTAAATGTCTCATCTCAGGTAGTTCCATCCAGCCTGAGCCTCCTGAGCGGTAGCGGCGGTGCAGCGGCGCACCCACGAGGGACTTGGAACACACACCAAAGGTTTCCAATTGGCATCACCCAAATCTTTTATTTGGGTTTCCACAATTGTCAACTTCGAGTTCCCTTGAGTGGGTTCAGAGACTGCTGAGTTTTGTGCTTCGCGAAAACTTGGATGGATTCAGTGTTTTTTGAACGCTTATCAAGCACATGTTCTTCACTACTAGGTGCTTTACCTAGTGCCCTCCAAGCCACATGCGTGCACTCTTTGCGCGAGCTGGAACCATGAAAACACATGTGCAAGTTGTGTTTCAAAGTGTTTTGGACAAAGTTCTTGGGTTCAAGGAAAGCACAATTTTCATTGGAACATGGAACAAAGTTCTTCTGTTACAACACCATCCTGGTCTTCACCGTCGGAAGCATGCCCTTGAAACTTATCGCCCAGTAAAACAAACACTTCACTGATCCCAATCGACTAGGTACATTTCGGGGCTGGACAGGTTTCTATTGCCCACTCAGTTTTTCAGTTTTCAAACACACCTGGTTGGTTCTGATATGTTCTGATTTACGAGTAGAGAGCACAGGTTGAAAGGCTATCTGTAAGACATGCAGACATGCACTTCTCAATCTCGGGCCCTCGTAGCTCTTTTGTGAACTTTGAACACGAAGGGGGCAACCTTGAATCACATAGCTAGCTCGGAGCACTGCAAGATACAGTGCTGCTTTGAAGTGTTCTGGAGAGTTTGGAAAAAGGGCAGTTCGTTCTTCTTGGAGGTCTGTCGCTGTGACTGTGTTTGTGTGTGTACTGGCACGTCAAAACTTCCAGTAACAAAAATTCATTTTTTGAGCCAGTGGCATGGACACTGCTTAGCTTGATTACCATGTAGTTTCTTCAGCAAAATCTTTGCACATTGATACTGGTCTCCACATCCAAACAGAACTGAGTTTGCTCGCTGCTTCAACAACATCTTTGTACATTGATACTAGCTCTTTCACGTCCAAGAGCCAACGCCCTGGATAGAAAGCAAAGCCCCAGACAACAGGAACGGAGAATTTCGTTGAGGGTCACAGCGCAGAAGGTCAATGACCACCAGCTGCGAATTGCGTTTGAATCTACCACCTTACTCTACCAACTCAGGTGGTCCAACCCCGTGTGGGAGCAAATGGGGTTCTCCTTACACACGGAACGTGAGCAAGTTCTGCGCACACTTCGTTTGTTGTTGCTTGACCTTCCGTCCGCTTTGGTGCACCGCGAGGTGACAGCGCCCCTCGTGGTGGAGCTTCCGCCCGCTCCAGCACGGCCGGAGGCTGTTCCATGGCTGCATTCTTGGTTGACAGACATTTTTTGGCACAGTGGAGCCTTCCGGGACGGGGGGTTCTCATGGGGCACAGCTTGCATTTGGTTTTCTGACTTTTTTGATACAGTAGACTTCGTGCAGCATGCTTGTGCAGTGCTTTTAATTTCTTTCGCACTGGGAGTGTGGCATTCGTTCCGATTGTGGGTAAATACCTTTAGCTATGAGCAGTTGTGTCTTGAAGGGGTGACGCAACAAGTGAAGGCAGATGACGATAGGTTTCTTTCGCCGCCGATGACACCAGTGAATCACGCCAGCTCAGCTGGGGCATCACCGATTAATAGTGAAGCTTCCTTTCAACTCGTCCAGGCAAAAATGACTCCGATCTTAGTGCAAGACTGAGCCAGTGCCTTTTTGAGTGGATCATAGCATGGAGAGGGGGTGGATGGTCAGAGGGTGGCGACTTCGTCTACAGGTTTTGCTCGCAGTGCATGGATGTTCCTTACCCATGCCAGTACATCTAAGTGGACAACCTTCAGCTCAGTTGGCAAAAGCTGAATGCAGCGCAGCTGCTTGCTGGGAGGGAGGGAGCGGCATCATCACTTGCAATTCATTCAGGAGAATCAAAATAAATTTGAAGGTAATAAGTGATTCATGTAACTGACTATTTTGAACGGTTGAGTCTGAATGCTGCATTATGAATTAAAAGATGGCCTAGGGCGGGGGGGAGGGGGGGTAAGGTGCCCAACACCCCAAAACACAACATCCAAGAACAACTGAAGTGTCCTTATAATATGTCAGGATGTCTAGAATCACTCTATCATTGTTTATTAGTAATTTATTCGAAATGAAGCGGAAAATATCCTTGGCACCAACTCAAACCAATTTGTTTAAAGTTTCTTCAGGTTTGCCATATTGTGCTGATAAAATAATGCTCTACCCCCACTCCGCTATCGTGATCTTCGCTCTTGATCATCGTCACTTTGGAGCTTGGACTCCACTCCAATCCATTCCACTCCATTCCGCCACACTCCACCACTGTCCCCAAAACATTGTGTATGTGCATGTGTGTCCAGCATGTGTATGTGCATGCGTGTCCAGCATCACTCCGCATGGACCATGCGAAAGCTACTGCATGGATCCAAAATGACGCTGGAACACTAATGGCGCCAATTTTGCCCCCCAGCACCGACACGAGGGTTCTTGAGTAGTCATATTCCTTGCCTGGCCCCGGGTCAGAGATTTTTCAATAACCCGGCTGATCCGTCAGGACCCCCCTAACGCGTAGCATGGGCGGATTTGGTTGGGGATTGGATTTGCCGACCTGGGGACCCCCGGGGCTGGCTCTGGCCACCACCTCGGGTGGAGAACAGGGATAGACTATGGCGCCAAGCTCAGGAGTCCTCTTTTCATGTGTCGCGGTGAGCTTGGGGGGTGAGAGCCATACAGTATCATACAGTATCATACAGTGTCTGTGTGCAGCACATGGCCTCCGCACCACTCCACTCCACGCCACTCCACTCCACTTCACTCCACTCCAGTCCAGTTCACTCCACCACACTCCACCGATCTCCACCGCTTGCAAAAGGAACCCAGTAGCAAAAGGAAACATGGTTCTGGTATGTTCTGGTCATTTCTGGTCTTTGTTTTCCACTTGAGGGGTGTTGGAGTGAGGATGCATTTCCCTGGAGCAATCAGTGCCCCATAGTGCGCTTCGTGATGAAAAGGTCCCTCAACACAAACT